TCTTCTGTGGTGTAAAATCGTTTATAATTGAACCCAAAGCCCTGCATTTGCTCTCAGATGAGCAAATCTTAGCTATCTAATTGGTTATCTAACACATGATAGAGAAGATTTTTGTGTGTTCATCCTGTGTTGTAGTAGTAGTAGTAGTAGTAGTAGTAGTAGTAGTAGTAGTAGTAGTAGAAGTAACAACAACAACAGCAACAACAACAACACACAACCACCACCAGCCCATGATCAAACAAAAGGATCGAAGGGGGTGGGAAAAAAATTGGTCTGGCCCCAGCTACAATTCCAACGCCCAACGCCCTTCTTTTCCCACCCCATTTTTCTTTGTTGCCAACCTAAGACTATGGAGAGGAGGGCTGGAGGATGAATCTGGAAACCGCCGTATGAAGCTGGCGTTGTGTTAGATCTGGAAGGAGACGAGGGCTTGCTCTCTTTTGGGGAAGGGTTGGCAAGTTTGGGATTTTTTGCCTTACCTGAGACTCTAAAGGGTTATTACAGTGACCTCCCCCCCTCCCCCGGCTTCCGTAACAACGCACCAAAAAGGCTTCCTTAAACACACAACCGAAAGCGGGTTTTTAAAATAGACAGTGCAGAATCTTCGCCCCTAAATTTGCATAACGTGACCAGCCTGCCAAGTAACCTAGCCTGGAGCTTTCTATTCCCGCGCAGGAATCGAAATAACAAATAAATAACCGAGAAATCCGAACTTCAGCACCGACTATGTGGGGCTGTTTGGAGCATTCCTGCCTCTTATTTGCCTGTAAAATCAGCCCGTTCGGGATGGATCGTATCACGCAAATTGTCTTCTGAGATCAAACGGGTTATTCTATCGCTTGATTTATGTTGCAGAGAAAATCAGGGACTTTTTGAATTTTCCACGTCTGTGTGCCTGCGTGTGTGAATGCATGCGTGTCCGCACCTATGGAGCTCGAAAAGAGCACCCGCGGGGCGCAATGAAGACTTTATGCCAATTTTCTAGTGCTCCCCAATCTGTTTCCCAATAAAGATGGGTCCTCCTGATAAAATAAGCAAACTATTTCTCACTCCTTTTCGGAGGAAGGTGCTTCGAACCGACTATCCCAGATCGATTCATGACGACGCGAATTTCAGGCCAGTAGTAAGGAAGACAAAAAACAAAACAAAACAAAACAAAAAAAACTCCAAAGGACAGAGTCAGACCTTCCAGACGATCTTTGCATCTTTTTTTTTTTTTTTTGGTCTGTCTGAAGCTCCACAATTCTTACCGAAGGCGGCTCTGAGCGTTTCACCAAAGCCCCGTTTCTGAAACGGACTTGTATTTCTCAAGCCTTCGAATTGGCCTTAAGGGTTGAATAAGGCTTTTGTGACATACACCCATGCCTAAAGGGTCTGTGTCCCTTTTTTTTCCCCTCCCCTAAAGGAAGTGGTCTGATCCATTTGAAGTATGGGCATCTGTCTGTCTGCCAGTTAGGAAAAGTCCCTGCCATAAAGCTCTCCCTTGGTCCCCAGCATTAATTCCGAGACTGCCCTATTCAAAGGCCTTGAGGTTGGGATTCAGTGTGCTGGAGCGCATTGAAATCAATGGGCTTCTCTCTCAACCCTTCTTTCTGTACCGTATTATATTTAACCAATAGAGGGTGGGTTCTTTGGGGAAAGTGGGGCAGGAAAGAGAGATCCACAGTGGTCTGGAACCAACTGCTGATAAAGATGCTGCCAGGTACATATATTTTCATAGAGATGGGAGGGGGAGGTAAATGCTGCACCCACAGATCATTATTATTAGGCAAGGATATTCATTTGTGTGTTCCAATCTATTCCTGACCCCGGTTTCTGGGAACGTGTGTGTGTGTAAACCCACACCTCAGAAGAGAGGTTGTGAGGTTGAGTGCATATATACATATAAATAACACGTAGCATTGAGAAGTTCTGTTAATGCAATTCAGAGCCATCCATTCTCCTTCCCTGGGCTTGTCAGGCTGCTGTAAAGTTCTGGAACTAAAACTTGAAAGAAAGAAACTGAACAGAAAACAATTACTTAGTAAAAGTGGGCATCTTTCTCTCAAAGGGCATCCCCTGCTTTCTGCAAGCGGCCTAAGGAATTTTGTTCAGTGTAGATGCCCGATCGAGTGGAATTGCATTTGGTGTTGGATCTGCCCCAGCAAATACCAAACCAAGGGGAAAACAGGTTGGGAAGAAGAAAGGGGCCAGTTAGAGGAAGGAAGGAGCAGCAGCCCAGGCTAGGCCCCCTCGGCAATCCTTGGCTTGACGTTGTTTGGAAATCCTGCCCAGCCATTTGGACTGTCCTAAAAAACACCTCATGCCCATGGGGGGGGGGAGCAGATTGTGGAGGTGATTAAATGAGGGAAAACAAGGGCCTCTCTCACTTTAAATATATGAAGAAGGGGATGCTACAGATAATGAATGCTGATGCCAACTAAAATGTGTTAGTTTTTAAGGTGCCACAAGATTTTGCTGATTTTCCTGCAACAGAGGAATAGAACTACCCTCACCCCACCCCAGATGTTTCTGCCTTCCTAGTGGCAAACATGGAGTCACATAGTTTTGAATCCTTATTCTCTCTGTGTGGATTTCCTATGATCTAGCCTGTCCCTTACTGACTCACCCTATTGAAAATGAGTGGCCACACTCTCTTCACTCCCCCTGCCTCACCCGTGTGTTCTAAAGGGGATTCTAATATTGTCTTTTCATTGTTGTACGCTGCCTTGGGTCCTTTTGAGGAGAAAGGTGGGGTGAAAATATTATAGATGGATGGACAGACGGATGGACGGACGGACAGACAGACAGACAGACAGACAGACAGACAGATGGATAGCCTGAAATTCCACTCTAGGTTGAGGGAGGGACTCAAAATGCCTCTGCCTGTGTGGAAAGGCATCTTTCTTATTTAACCGAGGGGAAGAACATGAAATTGCCTTATTACAGGATTTTTAAGGGTGGCATGTGGGGGGAACCAATCCTATCAGTCCTTTACATGCCTACTTAAAAGATCCCTCAGGATTCAGGAGGATTTAATCAAAGTTAAATAAGTACAGGATTGCAGCCTAGGACTAATGCATCCTCCTAGCTTTCAAACCAGGCACTAGTGAGCTGAAGAACGGTGTGGTCCAGTGTGAATTTGGGACTCTGACAGAAACTACCAGATGATAAACTGAGAAGTATATAATATAATATAATATAATATAATATAATATAATATAATATAATATAATATAATATAATATAATAAGCTCACTGCACAGTTAATTTTTGAACTCACCAAGTGACATGCTTTCTAGATGTCTTGGAACTTCCTGCCAGCTTGGTTTATTACACCACTTGAGTTTATGATGCAGGAGAATTTTGGAATGCTTTTAATGCAATTCTCCTCACTGCCTATATAAACCAATACAAACCAAAACAAAGATAGAACTACCTTTGAATGAAGTGTTTAATTTCAGGGCCCTTTGAAAATGCATGGGCATTTTCATCAGGTCTACTGGAGAGGTCTAATCATTAGAAGGTTTCTGATTGTTTGTTTGTTTGTTTGTTTGTTTATTTATTTATTTATTTATTTATTTATTTATTTATTTATTTATACCCTGCCTATCTAGTCGAACGACCACTCTAGGTCACTGAAGACTACCAAGGTTGTCTAATATGATTCCACAGCTCTTGGTCACATGTAGATTGTTTCTTACCTCTTCCAAGACTAGACTGTAACTAGACGCAGACTCCATGGTTTGAACATCAACTCATTTCCTCTTCCTGGGGTCCTTCTCTATTCTACTTTGCTTTGGTTACCTTAAGGTCTACTGAAGAGTTCTTGAGAAATTAGAAGCTTGTGCGGTGTTTTATGGCTTTGATGTGCCCCAAAAATGTTCCACTAATGTGGATTGTAGTGTTTTTCTTGTGGTTTTTTTTCTTTTTAATCTTTTTGTTCCCGCTTCTTTGTTTGTGGCTTACCAATAAAGATAGCATAAAGACCTTTCCACCCCCACACTAAATCCTAAAAAGTCATAGTTAAATTTGCATTCAATTAACAAAACAAGAAAAATTGATTCAGAGGCATCTTAAGAACCACTTCCCTTCTTTCTGTATAAGATTTTTCAGGAAGAAAAACAGCAGCAGGCATCTGTCAAGACAAAGCTCACTTATTCTAGCCAATCTGTTTGTGGAGACTATCCATAAAGTCCATCAATGGAAGGTGAGTTAGACAGAAATGTTTTGGGAAAGGAGAGAACTCAGTACAAGATGAAGACAAACTTTAAAAAAAGCATGTTACCAACAACTCCCAAGGCTGTTACCGTTCCCCTAACTAACTGTAAGTTCTACTAAAATCCACAGGAATCCCTATTGACCATTTTCCTTCTTGCCCCATATCTGGGAATGGGGTGGGTGTACAGCCGTAGGAACTGTAAAATGAAGTAAGAGAACAAAAATGCAAAAATAGGAACTTAATCTATCTTTTAAAAATAAACAAAAGGTCCTCACAGCACAGCACTAGGCATGTCTACTCAGAAGTAAGCCTCACTGAGTTCAAGGCACTTACTCTTAGGTTGCATAAAACTGCATCTTTTTAAAAGAATAATAATTCATTTTAATAAAACTGAACTGAATTTAAATACAAACCATAACACAGACCTCTTCATAAGTCAAAAGGGTAGGCTTTATTTACTTATTGTTTTGATCACCTGATTTTAGTGCTTAAACTATTATAGACAGTTCAATCTTACAAAGATATGCTTGAGTTCAGTGAGACCAATATATCCTTCAGGGAGAATAACAGACAAAGCTTGGCTAGGTTATATTTTGGTCTACAATACCCAGACTCCTGTGCCTCTGGGCTATCTTCTCAAAAAGTAACTTTTTCCAAGGTTTAGTACCTGATTGTACCCAAAGGGATCTGAGACCTTGAAGTGCTCCCTTCTATCCCTTCTGCATTGCTAGTGAATATCTCGTGGATGTTATTCACCCCGAAGTTACAGAATAGAATGATTTGCATACTGTACATTTAAAAAAAGTTCTATGAACTGGCAGGGAAATAAAGCACAGGCGTCCAGCGGAATCCAGCAAGGTCTGGTAACAATGAATGCCAAGTGAGATCACAAATTCTCAGGTTAGAAGGAACATACTTCCAAATGCCAGACGCAGGGGAGGGGTATCAGGAGGCAGCTATCTAGTTGTCTCCTGTGCTCTCAGTGGTAGGGCCACTGTGAGATCCAGGGAGCTGGACTAGATGGGCCCGTGACTTGATCCAGCAGGGCTCTTCTTATGTTCTTATGTTTACAATTGGATTCAGTGGTACACCGGTCACAACTGAATGCCTGTGATCTGTGCCCATCTGTATGACCTGTCTGATTCCATCCATCAGCAGTCACAGATTCAGTATCAATAAAACCTCTGACAAATTAACTGCTGCTTCATCTGGGCTGGTGCAGTTTCAAAGGTCCAGACTATCACAGGATTCTTGTGATCGCAGCATAGAAGATGCCAGTAATCAGTGGAAATCCAAAAAAGGATACTTTTTTTTTTATTTTTGCCACTGGATTTCTATAGGCAGACTTTGCAAAAGCACAGACATGAGAAGATGCAGAATATAACTTACAGAAAAGATACAATTTTTTTCCAAAAGCCCAGCATGTTTCTAGTCTTTCTGACTGTGCTGAATGTAGTTTTGAAACTTGGTAAATAATGCCTGGTGAAAGCCTTAATACACAAGGGTTGAGAGGATTAAAATTATTATTAACAATAATAAACCAGGGCTTCATTCATTGTGCCCCATTTATATAGACTGAATAAGTTATGCAAAAGAAATAATATATGAAAGCCAAGTTTAGTGCAAAATTTGGATTACTATGGTACTCATCCATAGTAATCATCCCCCACGCCACTCTGCCCCAGTGCACAGTTCGTGCTATTTTGCCTGTGAATTCCTCTTAGGAGAGCATATTGATGGCCCTTTCATTTCCATCAGTGAGGTTACAGCTGTTCATAAAGCGTTACCAGCCAACATAATATTATTAGCTCCCAATGCTCTAGCTAAATCCAATACTCCTTTCTGAGATCTTTTGTATGCCTGCCACCATTTCTACAGCCCAAGGATTTTCCTGATACCTTCTGTTTGTCTCTTCAAGAAGAATATAGCTTCATTTAATTAAAAACAGGGACATAGAGAGACCTTCCCATTGCCCAGCTTAACATGGATTTTTACTCTTAAGGTCTCCAAATGAGTTCAGATGTGCTTGAAAATATTTCTTGCTTATTTTCACCCACTTACTGAGCATAATTGTAGTGTAAATAGAAAAAGTATTGACTATAAGCCAAATATTATTCCATGAATGATTTCAGTATTTACATGAATCCAGTGGTTACATCTAACACAGGCATCAATAGCAATTATTAAATACAGACCTCTCTCTAAGACAGTCACTTCTACTATGTAATTTCATACATTAGTAACTTTATAGATACAGACCACCAGCCTTTGAAGAGTTATTCTCTCTCTCTCTCTCTCTCTCTCTCTCACACACACACACACACACACACACACACACACACACACACACACACACACACACACTGGCTCAATCCCCTTTTCATTGTAAAAATAATAAACTGTAAAGCGTGTACATGACTGTAGTTGTACAAAATTGTGACTGATACTTATTTGTCAAATACACACTTGGTACTTAAATGGGTTGCATGTATAAAGGCTACCATGTTTGATCGGTCATCAAATTTTGTGGATGGGATAGACTGCTTCTTAGGATGTTCTAGGTGGGCTTTGGTCTAGGAAAGCTTAGGGTAAAAACAATGTATTAGCCTCTAAGGAACCACGAGACGTTTTGTCATTCCTGGTGCAGCAGATTGTGCTCACCACCCCTTTCAAAATGCCCACTTCATGTGTACACTCCGATGAGCTTCCTGTGAAAGAGGTTAGGAAAAACAATAACATCCAGTCACTACAATAAGATGGAATAGTTTGCGTACTGACAAAAGCTGTGACTCAAAGGTCTAAGTTGCTCCCTACTCTTGGCACTAAAGGGCGAAGCAGCCTTCTGGATATTCCAAGATATTGGAATACCAAGATACTGGTTGACATGCCGACGGTTGACAAGCTCTTGGAGCTAATTTTTATGATGCCATTAAAATTAGATTTTCAACTTATATGCAATGTTATATAGATTTATTTAAAAGTAAGTTCCACTTACTTTTGTTCCTTGAGGATTCTTTGTATAGTATTTAGAATTGGAGACCTGGACTCCTTCTCTTCCCTTCCTTTCCCTTCCCTTTATTCTACAGACTGCTTCCCCCACTGATTTTCTATCACAATATTTTTGGCTGCAGCACTCTTGTCAGTCAGGCTTTCCATTCTGGTGCGTTCCATATTAGCTAGACTACAACTACCATAATGCAGTGGAACTGCAGTCCAATACCCATGGAGGCCTACAAAGTGGGCAAGGCAACCGTAGATGGCTCATCCTATCTAGGCCCCTATGCTGCAGCAGCCAAGGCCTGGTCTCCTTTCTATCATCTCCTTTGCGCTTCGCAGACAGGGTCTGGCCCAACAGAAGGAGACCTGCATGTGCTGCATTTCCTGGATAGAGAGTTGAGAAGAATGAATCATGTACAGGCAGGGTGTGGGAGTTCATCTTTGGATTATACTCTTTGATCAGTTTATGGACATCATCTTAGCTGATTTGCTGTCTCAGCCAAGACAATGGGGCAGAGAGATCATGAAGGAAAATGCAATGGAGTTTCCTGAAAGACATCAAACACAACCACTCCGCACTTCAATTTGTTGTGAAAACAATTAAACCTTATTCAAGCTACTACAGTATATAAAATCATCTCAGATACTATTATTATTATTACATGGCAGAAACCATTGCATGTCAGCAGTAAAACACGGCTAAACAGTATTACATACCAGTTGTCCAAGACCATAAAATATCAAATACTCTAAATGGATTCATTTGCAGGCAGATATCAACTCTCTGGAGCATATCTGACCGGGGGGGGGAGACAACAACATTTGCAGGGGCTGACTTCTGAGAAAACATTTGTTCCAACTCGAAACATGTTGAAACGTAGAAGTTCTTTAAAGTTCCTGTTCCTTCATTGCAGGTGTGGCCCAGAGGCCAGGATGGTTGGAGAATGTTCTTGTTAAAAGATGAGGGTATGTTGATTTAGAATGTTTTCCCCTTAGCTTTTGGAATTCTTGGCTGATGTGGATTCTTCCTCAGCAGATCTCGCTATAACTCAGAATAACTGAAGTTCTGTCCTCTGGATTCCTTTTTTATTTGTTTCAAGGCACCCCTCACCTTTCCGGTCCCTTTGGTCAGAGAAGACCAGGAAATGCAAAAACCTCTTCACAAAGACGACCAGGAGTCCTCAGAAGATCCTTTGTACCAGGAGCTCATTAGGAGCAATTGTTTTAGTCAGTTACCTTTCCCGGCTCCATCAGAGCACCAGGAGTTAGGAGGATCCGCAGGGTCTCCAACAGACACAATTGGGATCCTGAGATCTGTAGGGCATGGCAATCATCCAGCCTCAAAATTACGAAAGCCACTACCGGGTACTTCTTCCAGTCCTTGTGACATATCCACTGACAACACCAGCCAAGAACATCATAGCCATTTACCAAAACGAGTCTTTCCTTGGATGAAGGAATCCAGACACAAGAAGAAGCCGAAGAACAACCTTCCTGTCTCAGGTATCTTGTTCTATCCGTAATATCCTGTATATCCTGATCAGGTTTTCCCCATCTAGTGTCCTCTAGATGTGTATGGCTAACACCTTCATCTTCCCTAACTAATCATGGGGATCAAGGGAAATATAGTCCAGCTCCAACACATCTGGAAAATGTCCTTCTGAAGAAGGATAGTCTAGACCAGTGGTTCCAACAGTGGGTAATTCTGGCTGTTCTTGGACTGCAGTTCCCAGAAGCCTTCGCCGCCAGCCTGAGTTTCTGGAAGTTGTAGTCTAAGAACACTTGGGTTACCCAATCATCAGTCTAAACCACTGGTTCTTAACCTTGGGTTACTCAGGAGTTTTGGACTGCAACTCCCAGAAGCCTCCACCACCAACTGTGCTGGCTGGGGTTTCTGGGAGTTGCAGTTCAAAAACATCCGAGTAACAAAGGTTAAGAACCACTGGTTTAGACTGATGATTTCCCAGCAATTCCAAATAAGTATCCATAAACTGCATTATATATATATATATAATTTATTTATTTACAGTAATTTATACCACCAGTAAACTAAACAACACTCCTCTGGTGGTCTTATCCAGATGCTGAAAGGCTTGGATCCAGTGTCCCCTAATTTTAGTAGCTGTGCCTTCTGGGCAATGGCATCAAAAACATTTCCATACATTCAGTTAGTTAGTTGCAATTCTATGCCACCTCTCTTAGAATCAGAAAAACGTCCACGCAAAAGCTTCCAGCTTTCACTTGAGAAACTCTGCTTCATAACTATACAGATTTTCTTTTAAAAGTTGTTCTAATGTATTATTTCTAGGTTCTTTGCATAAAAAAAAATTTAGGACAATATTTGTCTTCCTCATTAAATTAAAAAAATGTTTTCTTAATTTGCCTAATCTTTAGCTAGCTATCCACAAGAAATGAGATGGAGGTAGTAAACCCATAGATGGTGATATCCAGTCATAAAGTGAGCAGAACAATGTTGCCATGTTATTGTGGAGTGCAAGTTAATAACTTGGGCAGCTTTGAAAGGAAATTAGACCACACAAATTCAGAGAGGAGAGCTCATCAATGGCTAAGAGTTAAGATGGTTGCAAATTGCTTCCAGGTTCAGAAGCAATATACGCTTCTCTTTGCCAGTTGCTGGAGACCATGAATGGGATAGGACTGCAGCAGTCATGTCCTGTTCATGAGTTTCTCAAAAGCTTCTGGTTGGCCACTGTAGGAAACAGGATGCTCTGCTAGACAATCTCTTCATTGATCCACCATCCTATATTAGTACAATGGCAACATAGGGGAATGCAAATTAATAAACCAGTCTTTTGGCAAGATGCATTGAAGCAAAGGAATCTCTGTCTGTCTGTCTCTCTCTCTCTCTCTCTCACACACACACACACACACACCAATGGAGCTAGTATTGGGGCAGCTCAGCTCTAGCTTGCATGCTTGTACCCCCTATACTAGGGGTGGGGAGCCTCTGGTATTCAGACCCAATGTAGCCCCCTGGGCTTCCTTGCTTGGCTTGCAAGCTTTTCTTCCACTCTCACCTTTGTTCACCATCCACCCTCCCTTTATATGGATTTCTTACAGATAGAACAATTTGTGAGACAATGCATGGGCTGTTTTGCAACATCCTTGGGGTTCAACTTGAATCACATCTTCCCTTTCCTTTATTTAGACCCCATCTCTCCACCCAATTCCTCCTCTTCCAAAAGAGTGCGTACAGCCTACACCCACATGCAGCTGGTGGAGCTGGAGAAGGAGTTCCATTTCAACAGGTATCTCTGCCGGCCACGCCGGTTGGAGATGGCGCGCCTGCTGAGACTCTCGGAGAGGCAAATCAAGATCTGGTTCCAGAACAGACGGATGAAGTACAAGAAGGACAGCAGGACCAGCAAGAGGGCTGCAAGGAAGTCCCCAAATAAAAGCCCTCCAGCGACCAACTATTACAGTCAGATGGAGTCCAAGTATGAGACGACCATGCTGGGTTCCTGCAGCAAGGCCCAGGGAGGGATCCAGGACACAGCAGCATACGTGGAGGAGTCTCTCATAGGAAATGCCTTCACTTCTGCCTCCTTGGATTACAGCCCCCTCCCTGTGGCAGGAGAAGAGGGTCCTCATTACGGACCTCCAGTTCTACAAGGAAGTCCGAGTGAGATGATGGGAGAAAATTACCTGGGAAATGTGCCCGAGGCAGACTCGCTCTTCAGCTTCCCTGACTGCTCCTTGGCAAACCTGGACTACAGCTGTGTGGCTGAACTCCCCAGCCATCACCCGCTTGGGCTTTCCAACTCACATCCCATTTACACAGATTTCAGCACACATCCTGTGCCTCAGGGAGGTTCTCAGGGACCTGTAAATCTGATGCATCTGTGAGGGCTCTCCCTGCCATGGAAACAGGCAGGGGAAATTGCTACAGTCCTATTATCTCATTAAAAAATATATATACCTCTTAAGTGCAACCAACAGTATGCACCTCTGCCGCCTCCTAATTTATTTAACTGTACTGAAGAACTTTCATGAGTGGGGGGGTGCAGTTTCTGGATCTTATTAATATTGAAGACAGAAGGATGGCTTTTAATCGATGATGATGATGATTTTGAAGGCACATCATCTCATCTGCAAGTTTTTTAAAACTTGACTCCTACTGTTTAGATTTTACCCTCTGTTCCAGCCCCGCAGTGAGAAATGAGAAGTATTATGATAATAATACTCCCTCCATGCACCATGGCAGAAAATATTTTCAACAGCCCTTTGCCAATGATTGTATAAAGATGGCAAGTCCATGTGGGGGGGGGGGGGAGAAATTATGAGCTGAAGTAGCCTAGGCATAAGGAGGGTGGCCAACATAAATTAAAATGCCAAGGTGACAAGGCATGATACATCTCAACACACTTTGTTTCCCATTGACATAACGGTATTCACAGCTTCCACCAGAGGAGAGCTGTCTATGGAAACAGAGCAAGGGCAGGCCAGTGTGGTCCCTGGATAGTCCACCCCTGCACTGGGGGGGGGAGAGGCCATGGGGAAGGGCAGCCCCAAATACAATCCCTCCCCTCCTGGGCTTGAAAGACGTTGTGCTTTTCACATGCTCTGGAGATCTCTCAGTCTTACAATCTACTTTCAAAGTTTAGCAAGTGGGAGAGAGAAGGATTTGGTTTTTTCAGACAGCCACAGTAGTTAAACGGGATTGGAGGAGGAGCCGCCGCCGCCGCCGAAGTTAAACGGGATCCTTCAGAGCCCTGTCATTGTCATTGCTGCTGTTTCATAGATTTTATTTATATTCTGCTTTTCTCCCAATAAATGGGGCTATAAAAAACACTGCTGTTGCTCTTTATTGCTCACATCAGAAATCGAGTGCCTCCTCTTGTTCCATTTGATCCTTCTTTCCATGGAGAGGAATTGACCCCCTAAACCTGAAGACCTGCTGCCCTAATCCGAGGTCTGGGGAATCTGTGGCCCTCCTGATGTGATGAACGTCCATTCCCATCATTTCTTGGCCACCATCAGGCTGATGGAGTTTAGCACTCAAAATGTGCTAAAGGGATAGACGTTCCCCAGTAGGGACTGTTAAGGCTCAAGACCTTCTTATGTGGGAAGGCAGAAGATCATTCACGGACCAGTAATTTAGTAGGATAGGCATTTAATTTAGAAGGAAGCAACTGAAGGCACTTCAGCCAGCTTTCACCTCAAGGCAAGGAGATGTTACTGCTACCTTGTTTTCTCATATTTCTTTCAAGGTGTGAAAGTATGATTAACCTTCTCACCATTTGATAGGACATTAGAGACAATTGACTGACTTACCACTTGTTTCTATGCACAGGCTGGTGGAAGTTGAGCTTCGGAAAATTTATTCTGCGTTTTACTCTAGATCAGTGACTTTGAAGCTTCTTGGCTTCTGATCACTCCTTCCACCTGGGATTTTCTACAGAGGAGTTTTGAATGTTGCAGAAGTTTTGGGGCATGTTTCTAATCCAGGAGTTCCCAAAGGTGGTTCTGCAGCTGTTCTTGGACTCCAGCTCCTAGAAACCTCAGCCATTGTTCTAGTCAGTTTGTGTTGGGCTAGTGCGGATCTATCTAAACGGAGGGCTTGATCACACCTGCCGAAAGACCCAGTTACACCGATTTGGCCGTTATTTAGATTGTTGCATAATTTTCCATTCACATGATGCATGGCCAACGTTGATTCATATGACCTAGCAATCGATTTATTTCCTGCTCACTGGGAGGGTGATTTTCAATTTTTCCAGTGATGTATCACTTCATTACTTATCATTTCAGTGTGTGTGAACATTCCTATTTATTTATTTCCTTTGTGAAGGGACTGGGTTCCTGGGCACTCTGTGCACTGTGTGTTTACTGCACTTGTACCCTTAAATTTTTTTTAAAGGGATATTGATACATTACTAGTAGCTGCCACTGCCACCACACAAAAAAACGCATACAATGCATGGAAGGAGATAGTCTTCCCTGCTCCCTTGCAGGGGAAAGAGGGCTTGAGATTTCCTGCTTTGAATGATAAAGGAAGGTGTGTTGCATTTTTTTAAACCCTGCTCTTCACAATACTTTGCAAGTCTTTTAAAACTTGTTTCCTCCTCCTGACACTGTTCAAATGGAAGAAGAAAAAGAAAGCCAAGAGCGGAGAGGGAGAGAAATGCAGGGAAATAAGGAAAAGGGGACAATGAGTAAAGGAGGGAAAGGAAAAGGGGAGAGAAGAGAAGGCTCATACCATTTCATTGATATATCACCTTTAGTTTTGTTTTTTTAAAGAAACAAGAGGGGTTGATTGCCTACAGAAAATGAATAGATACAACATTGAAGAGAAATGTAGCCTACTATAATGGTTCAAAAGAGAAAGAAATGAATCAACACAGTTAAAAATAATGTGAATATTCCTGCCAGTATATATACCACATGACCACTGGAAAAATGTCCCAGTACAACAGAGATATTGGAGAAGAATTGGTGTAACTGGGGTTCTTTTCTCATATGTGATCAGGCCCTGAGAGATGAGTCTAAAATGTGCCCAGAAGTCCCCTGATGCTGGTCATTATCATGGAGGGCCATTCTTTCAAGAAAGGTTGCTCACCAGTATTATTGATCTTCTCACTGAGAAACCTGTAAAAACCTCTCCCTTCAGCCGTGGTACATAGAACAAACCCCTGGGTTCAGAAGCCTTTTACTCTGAGGATACTCCTTTACATCAGGCTCAGATGGGAAGCTCCTGAGGTTCTGCTAAAAAAAAACCCCAAAGCACAAAGTAGATCACACAAAACTGATCTTTGCCTACTATTTCCAACAGGGTCTACAAAGCTGTTGCAAACATTCCTTTTGGGGACAACACCCCCCTCCCCGGAATTCCTCAGCCAGGAACCATCAGCCCATCTCAACAAAACAAGTCTAGCAGCTTCCCCCACGCCCCATCCTGTCTGCACAAGGGGTAGGCCTTTTCTAAAGCTAAGGGGCCTTAATTCTCCATTCAAGATCAAGGCATTTGAAAATACTTTGCATTAGAACAATTCATTTTACTGATGCTGGGGAAATTAATTGCCCTTCCCCTCCCTAATAGGGAATAGGATAGCTTGATCTTGTGGGAGATTACATTAAAAGGTGAATCAAAAATCCAGGTGCTTCAGTCCTGTGAACTGTGGTCTGTTACCAATGAAAAAACAGAGAGAGAGAGAGAGCATATATAACTCTTCTCTATGAATCCATTTATGTAACCGGCTCATCCTTTAAGAAAGCACTCTTGTCCTTAAAGAAGGCCTTCCTGAAGCATCTCCCTCTGTGTGTTAAATGTTAACACATGACATGTAAAAATGCAACCTTTTAAAACAAGAAAGCCCCCCCAAAAAAACAACAACAAGAAGAAGAAGAAGGCAGAAAGAAAGGCAGAAAGAAAGAAAGAAAGAAAGAAAGAAAGAAAGAAAGAAAGAAAGAAAGAAAGAAAGAAAGAAAGAAAGAAAGAAAGAAAAAGAACAACTCTTGTGATCCAGCTCTGATGGGGAATCCCAAGCCAGGCAATGGCTACCCTGGTGCATCATTGTCTTACAGTTTGGAATGGGTTTGGGAGCCAGGTGGAAGAAGAAGAACCAATTTGCAACACACACACACACACACACACAGAGAGAGAGAGAGAGAGAGAGAGAGAGCAATGTTTTCACTGTACGTTGCCCATCACTGTTGGTTTATTTGTAATGATGGCTTGGCTCTCAGAGTCTATTTTAATGTACTGTTTTGATACTGGAAATAAAGAGGCTTTTAAAAACAGCACCAGGAGATTTACTTGGAATAGGCAGACAAGCTTTTCACCATGAACACTGCTCTGTTGTTCTTAGAATCACTTTGCCATCTTGTAGTTTACCAGGGGCTGGGCCTCACCCTTCCTTCACCCCCATTAATCATCAAGACAGCACATACTTCAGAAGGCCTCTAGCTCTTTCATCTCCCAGTTAGTATGCAGCTCTGGAGCTTAGCCTGTTTGTGTGTCCTTCTTCCGTCACCCCCCCAACCTCAACTGGCCCCTGCCTTCCATTAAACACCCTCCATTTCCTTGGACTGCAAGTCGGCTAGACTTTCCATCCACCCTTTAAGAGGCTTCTGGAAGGGCAAGCCTCAGTAAGGAGAAGTTTAGGACAAGATTCTAGATCCAGGTTCCAAATAATCCAGTTTGCATGGTGGTCTGCATTTGGGGGTGGGGTGGCAAAATAAAGGTCCAGTCTCCTCCAAACCCCCAATTTGTAGCTATGGTTAAGCAAAGTGGTCCTCCAACCACCCCAGTCACGAGCCGGGCCACCGATGGCATTGGTTCACCAGTAGACACTATGTCAGAACTCTGAAACATTTGGTATAAAGGCAACCCGCTAAAGTTGCAGCACCTCATATCCAGCCAGGACAGGTGGGTTTACTGCTAAGAGTGAAACAAAACTTTACACAAGTTTGAAAGAAAAATCAGAATGCAAATTTGACAGGTTGACTTTTCAACCCCTTTAAAGTTTGCTTCTGATATTAAGTCCACGTTTAGTACTTCTTAGGTTAGTTTCATTGGTGGTATTCACATCAGTTGGAAAACTAAACACCATCTCTCCCCTTGAAAACCCTGGCCCTTGTAAATGCCTAATGGTACTGGATCCGCTCCCTCATTCTTAACACCTGCCAATAAATTCACAGATAACAGTGTGAAGACCTAACATCAGGAAGCACTATTTCTGTTCCTTTAACCATTATTAATAAATGCCAAAATATGACCACTTCAGCCCCTGGAAATTTAGAGACTGCAATGAAATTAAAAAATAAAAATAAAAATCAGATCATTTGACCCCAGGAGAAATTCATCTAAGAACTGTTGCAGGAGTTGCAGGAGTAGAACCAATGGGTGGAAATTACAGGGGAGAGAACTTTTGTTAAGAAGCTGTTTTTGTGGAACCAGCCACCTGGAGAGCTCCCCTTTCCTGGAGATATTTAAGTAGAAGCAGAGTGGCCATCAGCTGGGGATGCTGCAATTGTGTCTCACCTTGCAGATCCTGCACTGAGCAGGGGACTGGACTAAATGACCTCCAGGGACCTTTCCAACACATATACCCCCATAATCTCATCAGAGTTTGAGCAAGTTACTTTTCTGGACCACAACATTCAGTATCTCCATTAGACAACAAGTCCACCAAATTCAGGATATCTGGCAGCAAAACTATGAGAAATGGAGTAGGTGGATCTGGGCCAGGCAGTAGCTCCCTGTAACTGTCTGAGACTTCCATCTTCTTGCTTTCAATGCACTTGTAATGCACGCCCTTTCCCCCTCCCTCCATGTGAACTGTTTATGGCATCACTGTTGTATGCTGATGTTCAGAACAATTGGCAAGAGGATTTGGGGGCTCAGGATTAGCTGCAGGTGAGCACTAAAATCAAGGAGGGAGATAGGAATATCAGGGTCTCCATCATGCCTTGATTTCTGGTTTCCTGTAATATAAGTTTCACTTCTCTTAACAAGGTGTCCAGACACTGGAGTAGGAACTCCACTAACATTTCATGCTTCCATAGTGGGAGGTGTGGTGGCCCTCATAGGGGAGATGACTCCCAGATGTCTGAAAGCTCTTTGGTCTACATTGCAGCTGGTCTACACAAACAGCTGTCTGGAGAGGAAAACTGCTCCATTTGTTCTGAACAACAAGT